CGAACGAATCTAGTCTAATAAAACTAGTGTGCCACCAAATAAAAAAAAATAATATAAAAAAAATTTTTTAATATACAACGCTTTTATAAATGGACTAAAAAGTAGAAAATAATATTTCTCAGTCCCATATAATTTGTTTTGATAACTTTTGATTTTGAAATTTTAGCAAAAGTCATTATAAACAATCTATGAAATTGAAAATGAAAAGCGTGGGGCGCATGTAATACACTTGAATTGATATGAAAAGTAATATATGTATGTATGTATGTGGGTAGATGAATAACGACACAACATTGCATGTTGATAAAAGCGTTGTAAAAACATCTCCTCTCCCTCTACCAGTACTCCCGGTTTGGATTTTCGCTCCCGTGAAGAGTGGGTCTATGACCACAGCCAGTCGCTTGCTCCGTACTGGTATGATGGGCGGTTTGGAGTTGTTTGTTTAAAGAAAATTGCTAGCCGGTTGTCCGTTGCAACTCTCATCGCGATGCCTTTTTGTATAGTGCCATATGCGTACCTTGGCTTATTGGTAGTGAGCCGCGTCGATACTCCTCAGATTTAACATACGCCAAAACGATCCCAGAATATATATCGTCTATCACAATGTGACCAATTTGATTACTCTTCCTTTGACCGGAGGACACCCAAGCGACATTATGGATGTTACAACATAACAGACGACTATTGGACCAATCAGCCCCTTTTCCTCAGCTTAGCGTTAAACTTGCCAAGCACAATTTTTATATAGTGGCGGAAAGGATAAATGTATATATGTCAAGGCAAATTAAAAAGTGGACCAAAATTATTATTAGCTTAAGCATATATTTTGTTGAGACATCCTAATGTGGGTGAGTGTTGCACACGAGCACCGAGTAAGGCCAAGATTCAAACCCTCATCCGAGTAACATCCCCAAAAAAAAATATTTTTTTTCTAATAGCGGTCGCACCTTGGCAGACAATCGGAAACCTTCTAATGATAAGAAACGGCTCCTTATAAAAACATCTGCCATTCGGAGGGGGTGAGGACTTCCAAGCGCTTAGCAAAATATATGATGTGCCAATTAAATTTCATCCTAATGTGCGGCATCCTAAATTTGTAAGTACATACATATGTAAGTGTGTACGAATATTGCATATATACTTGCTTGTCTTTAAATATAAGTTGTATGTTTTACTGCATCTATGTAATTGTATCAATTGCAAGCAATCGCCGCGTTCATTATCTCCCAACGCCCGTTCGACCAGTTAAGGTAGGGGGGAGGCAGAGATGGGGCGTAGATAAACTGAAGCGCGCTTCGCTCCAGTCATCAGTCGGACGCTTTGAGTAATTAAAGCCGCTCTTTTGGCTGCGATCTCAAAGTGCCTACAATCACACATGCAATATTCACACACGCAAAAAGGCAGCTCCTCACTTGTTTGTATGCAAAGTAGGGGCAAATTTATGCAAGTCCATATCTTATGACAGAAATGATGAAAATGGAATCATTGCGTGCCACGAACAAATTCACATTTCCCGCATTATGTATGATAAGTAAGTATAATATTTGCGTGTTTCGGTTGTGAATTTTTTAATGAAGAATAGTTCTTGGAAGCAGTCCGCATGCATCTCAAATAGACTTGCACACATATGCACGTACAAAAAATATAAGTTGCACTTTATTTACATACTTTCGTGAAGACACATAAAACATACATATCTGTGGACATTTGAAAGAACAACTTAAGTCTATCTGCCAGAGACAAAAAAGAAAAATAGCAGAAGTCGACAAACCTTGTTTCACCGTCAATGAAACAAATTTTGTACATACAGTATATTTTGCTTTGCTGCCTTTATGCTTAAGTGCACATTTAAGATACCTACCCTTAAATGCGCATTAGCGGCATTATTTTTAACATTTATAAGGAAACTCCTCCGATAGGTGCATTCAACATACCTGCACATTGGCGATACCTGCCTTAAAAATTGTGCAACTATTATTAACTATCAAAGAAAGTATTAGGTTTACCTGCACTGGCCCTACAATTACCTAATTTTACAAGCTTTTATTTATTTTGCTCATCTCGCAGAACAACGAAAATGGCTATCAATTAATGTAGTTATATAGATAATTAGATACCATTCGGTAAAAATTTCGCTCGCAGTAATTTCTACGTGGTAAGTGCTCCTCCATTATTTGGTTTCATAGGGATTCGGATACCTTCCTCATTGAAGTAGTAAAGTAAATTCGCTTAAGTGCTTTTTTCGGTTAAGTGCACAAGTTTTTCGTGCAAAGAAGGATGGGCAGCTAAGCAAAATATACTGTATATTGAAATAGATATTAAATTATTTGATCGCTATTCACAACCTTTTAAAATCCTTCTTCAGTCTTCTTTTAAGTAAAATTAATTGCTCTGATGGTAAAAAAGAGCTTTTCCGACATATGCTACTTTGGTTTTCCGTGAAAGGTAGACTTAAGTTGTTCTTTCAAATGTCCGCAGATATGTATGTATGTGTGTATGCAAGTACATAAATACATATGTATGTATGTAGCCACTACACATTATCCACTTACATGGCTTGCTTTTTATTGCTGCGTACTATAATTTAAATTTATTATTCTTATTTTTATGATCTATGCAAACTACTATTTTATGAATATTTACAGGGTTATCCGAATATGAGCTGTTCCGTAATCATAGGCTGCGGTTAATTTTTCACACAAAGAATACAATCCGTCATATTAAATCAAAACTTAAATTTGGCAGCAAAGGAATTTTTTCAGATGAGGTGCATTTTCACCATATTTGCTGTGTTCACATAGCCCTTACCAGCAACAACGTAAAAATTAGAATTACGCGATGATAAAATCTACTTTGTGCTTTACAGGTTCGATGCCAGATTTGTTGTGGGTGAGAGGCTCTGTCCCCACTCTGTGGTGATCGAGCTTAATGCCACAATCGCATAAATGTTTCGGTCATTTGCGTCCACGCTTCGGCAGGGGAGAATGACATGAATGAATGAATGTCAGTATTCTACATTTTCAAACGAAGACAGTTAGGACATACTTAAAAAATAGTCGTTAACTAATTATTAAGAAATAAGTTGAAGCGATTGTTGATAACTAGTCTGCAGCACTAGGTCCTAGCATAAAATAATTCATCAGGCTATATAGTAAAGGTTTAGCTGATGACATAATGAGTTATAAAACTGCATACCAAAAAAGTTTTCAAAAAATTCTGAATAACAATTTTAAATTTTGGTGAAAATTAGTTGATTTTTTTTATTTTTGTACAAAGTTGGATATGTAGAATTATATGGTGTTTGTTATATAGCTAGCTAGAATTTTACAAAAATATATTAAACATTAAATAAACCAAAGATTTATAACCAAAACTGCTCTAAATAAGGTTAGTTTATTATTTCTGCCACCAGTATAAATATTAATTTCGCTACCGGATTTTCCACCTAAAAGTGTCCAATACTTATGTATATATTTTTTAGTGTTTGGAATGTTTATAAAATGTTAGGACCTGCGACATTCTGAAAAAACACAACCAAATAAAAGTTAGGAACCATGACATAGGGTGCAATATCTGAATAGTTTCCTTTAAAGTTCGATTCCCCATACAGGATATGTCTGCTTATTGTATTTGCAACTTTTTGTGCGTTTGTTGACCAGCGATGACCAGGTAAACCCTCAAGAAAGCTTTAAAAAGCTTTGAACGCCGGCTATATTTTGGTCGTTTGGAAGTTAAACGGATATTTCCCTGCAGAAAAAAATTATCAATTGATAAAAAATAACCCACTTGTAGTTAGCATTTTTGCGGGATTTCTATAAAATATATTACTTGTAGTTGGCTACAAAAAGCTAACTTGAAACAAGTGGACAAGTAATGCAGGGGTAATGAAGGAGATTGTTTTCTTTAAATGCGTTTCTATTTAAATATCCTGCACTTCGCAAATACTTTTTCAAATTTAGGACAAATAAAAGGAAGATCGAAGTTTCATATTATCATTTTGAAGTTATGTCTGACGGAGTGGAATATGGGACCACCTGCAGCAGAATATGAAAACAAATATGAAATGTAATAAAATAAATAAAGTAAATAAAAATTAATATAAATAGTATATTTTTTTCCTATTGATATTATGTGTCCAAAAGTAGTTAATTACAAGTTAGTTACATCAAATTCAGAGTTAACCACCCTTGACTAATTCGCGGCCATCGCCATAGAAATATAGTTAGCTTTCGTCAAAGAAAATATACAGATAATAAGTGACTTTTAGCTCATTCCTAATCAACTTAAAGTTAGCTTATAGTTAGATTCATTTCCTGCAGGGTTATTCTACACAGTGTAAATGTACTTACATACATATGTACATCTGAAATAGGGAAGAATGTCTACACTCGATCGATGAGCAAAAAACGCAGGGCTGCCGGTGAACCAGGAAGCACGGATATCACACTTCATGAGTCTCTCATTAAGTCTCTCTTGGGGTACGCCGCAGAAGCGTAAATCTAATCTCATGACACGACTCTTGCAATGTTCGAGAGAAACATTCTGCGGAAGATGTACGGCCTTTACACGAAATCGGAGACAATAGAACATTGAGGTGTACGATCTTTATAACAGTAGAGACATAACAATACCGATATTACGTTGGTTAGGCCACGATCAACAAACGAATGCTCCATGCCCTACCGTTGAAAGTATTCAATGCAGTACACTTTAGTGATGGTAGAGGAAGTCGAGTTTAGAAAGGACTTTCCATTATTTCATTACTCACCCTTCGTTACGTAACGGTTGTCATTTCCCAGCACAAATTCCAAAAATACATATGCATGTAAAGAAATACTAGTAAGAAATAAGGCCCAGATTTTTATGGTTTTTTTTCAAACTTTTATTTTACTGCAATAAATTATCTTCATTGGGTTTTTACAGGAATAATTATTGTGAAGATTTTCAATAAAACACTACTTATTATCACAGTATTAAAAACAAATACATATATGCTAAATGTTACTAACTTACTGTTAGTTACTAAGTGCCTAATACCTACGGACATATGAAGTTTACACACATATATATATATATACATATGTGCATACATTAAAATATCTATACTAGTAAACTTTAAACGTAACTTGACTATAGTGGTTTTCATTTAACTTATAGTTAACATAGTGTCACGTAAGATTATAGTGGTCGTCATGCTTATGTATTTACATACCCTGTTCATTCCTGGAAAATAATATTTGTTTTTTTTTTTTTTTAATATAAAGGTTGCATGTATTTACTTTTCACTTAATTTAGTATAAGTTTTTATGGTTTTAGTTGTTTCTTTTTTTATGCCTAAATTACCCACTAACGCACTCACAACACTGGCTGGTAATGTAGGTGCTTACATAAATACATATAACTCAATTTTTTTTAATACTATTTACCCTTTTCACTAAATTTTCACATGCGTACATACATATGTACATATGTACATTATGTAAATGAACATACAACATAGATTCATAAACTTATTTCAATAAACTTGCACACAAGGGTAACTTCAGATTGTATTTAAAAAAAGGAATTTAGTTGTTAATAAAATATTCAATTAAGGAATGCACATAAATTTTTATTTTTTTTTGTATCAAAATGAGACCTTCTTAAGCTCAAAATACATATGTACATACATATGTATATATTTGGACTACAAACAAACCCATACCTGCACGGAGATTTTTTTATTTTCAATTTTCGCTTTTGTAAATTTTACTTTGATTGCCTAATTAAACACTTAATAGTTATATTCTTACTTTGTTTCATTTGCTCTATTTGAAGGGGTGTTTTAGTGCATCATCATCATGTAGGGCGATTCACTGCCATTGTCACCGGTCGGACTGTCCATTGAGGGGTTGATACGTTTCTCCTTCTGTCGTCGGTTGCAAAACCAAACGCGTACCACTTCTTTCTCCATGCATAGACGATCGGCCAGTTGGCTGATTTCTTCACTTGTCGGCTTCTGATTCATCATGAAGGCTTTCTCTAGCGCTCCCCGTATTGAGGTTTCAATAGACGTACGCTTTTTTCGCCGCCGACCCATAACTTCCGGTGTACTCACTGTTTGCAGGGCAGCAGGATCGAAAACTCTGTAGATTACAAATTAAAGATAGTAGCATTCATAAATCCAAAAAGTGTTCCATTTGGGTTATGGTAATAGTAAAGCGGTATTTAAATAGCCCTGCCATGGTAATGGTATTGGCAATGATGGTAATGGAGAGAGGGTCAGTTCTTTCAACAACCACCGATATGAGTACAAATATTCTAAAAACTTGAAGTTAATATGACTTTTCCTTTTGAAAGCTGAAGGCCGTATACTTACTAAGTAGATTCAGCTGTAGAGCGCTCTAAATAGCGTTTTCAAGAAACCATGTATAGAACATGGGCTGAGTAAACTGAGTTTTTCCGAAACTACGAAAAACTAGTTTCAAATTATTCTCAAGCTTTAATCACGCACGAACCGGTTACCCCATCGTAACTGAGTTTTAGCGTTGTCAGTATCTTACTTCGTTTTCAAATAGAAAATATCCGTAGAGGAGCAACAATTAATACATACTTACAATTTTTTTGGATCCTATTGCCTTCAGTGCTGCCTGACTGTCGACAAAAATACAGGATTTTTCTTCTGGAACTCCACTAATAAGTAAAATACTAGCCGCCTTCTCGATAGCCTAGAGTGTAGATTAGGCTGATCCAATTCTGTGTTTACTCGAAGGACCTGCATATCAACCGGTCCTTTCCTTCCATCCTCCGAACGACTGCAGTGTCTTCCAAGTGCAGCTCTTTGCTATAGAGAGGGCGGCCTATATTTTACTTAGTAGTAGAGTTCCAGAAGAAAAAGTCACTATTTTTGTAGACAGTCAGGCAGCACTGAAGGCTAAAATAGTGAAATCGGCTGGCATCATCACTGAGCCGTATCAACGTCACCCTATGCTGGGTACCAAGACATAGCAATATTGAATGGGATGAGTCGGCTGATGAGATATCCAGATGCGGCTCAGAGATGCCAACAGAACTAGCAAATATCTTCGTCTTACTACCTTTTAGTGATCACGTTTGAAAAATTTATGAATATACCGTGGCCGCGACTGATGACTTGTGAAACAAACGGGAAGACTGGGAGATCAAAAGATTATTATGGCCGCGGCTAAGTAGGAGAAAGACAAGGCACATACTGAAACTCAATAAATCTGCGGTAAGAGCGCCTCAAGAACTTCGGTTCGCACTTGTTCAACAGTCTGGGCGAGATAGCGGAGGTGGTACTGTTGGATCCCTTCGGCATCATTAGGGATAGTTCTTGTTTCCATATTATAGGTACGTGTCTCCTTCTGACACTCACTTAATGAGGGCACTCACAATGGACAATTCTGTATCCGAGTGAAAGTATGGGGTATTCCACACACGCCCTCCTAACCTAACCCAACCTGCAGTAGCGGTACTGTATATTAACTAATAGACAAACTGCTATCACACCCCTAAGCAAGGCCCGAAAATTCGCCATTAAACCAGAATATGAACACAGATTATTATTATTATTATTGTTAGGGCATATATAGCCCTGCGACCTACATAGCTTGATCTATTGTGCTAACCCTTATCGAGTCACTCCAACCTTAGGCTGTTAATGAAATTAAGCACTTTTGAGGGTGTCGTGTTCCAGATACTGAATGGAGACGATATTCGCTCTCCAAGGTGTATAAGTCTGAATCGAGTTATACGCGGACAATCACATAGTATATGCTCCGAGGTTTCATCCTCTAGCCCACAAAACCTGCAGTTCGTCTCCTCAGAGAGTCCCATCTTGTGCAAATGGCACCTCAGTCTGCAGTGTCCTGTCAGGTATCCGGTGAGAGTTCTTAAACCCTCTCTGCTAAGATTTAGCAGCCGTTCGGAGATTCCTCGAGAGGGAATTATGAATCTTTTGGACTGCCGATTACCCTTTGTCGAGCGCCATTGGGTTGTAACTTGGAAGTCCTTCCATCCCCTTAGGAGCTCTGACCTCTAGACCTTGAGGGCAGCCACGAGTGGCCGTTACCTTTTGCCTACTACCTTCTAGTTCGACTATTATGGTTCTGGACTTCAGTGTACTTATGACCCAGTCGGTTATGAGTTTAAGAATGTCCTTCCTTGTCATACCCGGTATATCGAGAAATGCACACAGGGAAATCTGTTTATACTCCATTGCCTTTTCAATAGCTTGGGTTAGGCCATGTATTACAGTAGTGGTAGATTTCCCTGTTTGATAGGCATGTTTCACAAAGTGGTTTCACCTTGAGGTTGATTTCCCTGATATGAAAATCAATTAGTTTTTCTAAGGTTTTGATCAGAAAAGAGCTTAGGCTTATGGGTCTATACGCCTTTGGGAGATGATCTTGTGTCTTCCCCGCTTTGGGTATGAATATGACCTTTACCTCCTTCCATGATGTCGGAATGTAAGCAAGAAGTAGGCTTGCTCTCAGAAGTCTGAGTATGGTACCGGATATGGACCCAAGGCCCTGCTGCAGCAGGAATGGATAAATACCGTCCAGACCAGGAGATTTATGCATTAAACGTTGAAATAGCCCACTGCAACCTTTCACTGTTGACAATTCTGTCCGCTAGGCCTCTTGCCATTTTGGTTCACACGCACTGCGTTAACGGTGTCCACGTTAGTACTTGGGCCTTTTGTGATGCAGCGGGAAGTGGGTCTCCAATAGAAGCCTGCTTGTTTCCTCAGGTGTAACAGTGTAGGTTCCGTCGGGTTTTTTCAAAGTGCATAGCCCGTTCAAATTATCCAATTTAAGGGCCTTCTGTAGGCGCCGAGCCGCCGGCAGGCAAGATATTCCCCCCGCAGTACTCACGCCATGTGTCCCTTTTGGATCTTCTGAGATCTAAAACTTCTCAATTATGTAATGAAAAAAGATACTTCAGTTTCGAGGCGATCAACGAACGGAATATTGGCCTACTTAGAAATGCTGTCCTTATTTGACGTTATTATCTGGTTAAACCAGATTACGTCAGTTGAAATCAATGAACTAACTTAGGAAAAGTTTTTATAATGATTTAATTTACTTACCCTCCGGTCGCCTGTATCGTACGATCTGCGTCTTCCAGCCATTTCTGTAGCAGCGGCTTCAGCTTACACATATTCTTAAAGCTCAGATTCAATGCTTCAAAACGCGATATCGTCGTCTGCGAGAAATCATTTCCGTACAATTTGCCCATGGCTAAGCCAACATCGCCTTGCGTGAAGCCCAACTTTATGCGTCGTTGCTTGAATGTCTTGGCGAACTGCTCCAGCTCCTCAAGATCGGTAGTCTCTTCCGGCGACGGTTCACCGCCTAAACGCTGAGCCGCACCAGCAGCATGTTTTAGCATTTGGGGAGTTTGTGGGGCTCCACTGATAGTGTTCGGTGTAAGTATCCCGCTGACCTTGAGGCTAGTGCCTGGATTGGGCGGCGTTATTTGACTGTGGGTGCTGGTATTGAAATTCGTGTGGAGTGGCAACGGCGATGATGCCGGACTATGTAAGGGCGTGTGAGTGGGCGTAGAAGTGTGCATACTGCGAGATTTCGGCGTTTCTTCTAATGGTTGTTGTTGTGATGCATGGAGATGCGGCTGTTTTTGCAGCTCCTGCTGCTTCTGCAGTGATTGTAACTGTTGCGTGGCTTGTGTGAGCGCTTGAATGCGACTGTGAAATAGGAACTGTGCTGCGGCGACTTGAGTGGCCATGCTTGGATCATCGGGCGGTATCCCTAACGCACCGCTGCGCAATATATCGATATAATTTTGGAACTGCTGATGCAAAGCGGTCTGCTGTTGTTGCAACGCTTGCTGGAACTGCGTGAAGTCTTGCGGGGAAATCGATGTGCTGAGCGGGAGGGAAAATAGCGGACTACCTAGGCTCAGGCTTGCGCTCGCCGCCGCAGCCAATTGGGCCTGTTGTGTTGAGAAGTTTGGCATGGGATATGTGTTGTTGGAGAGGGGCACAGCCGCAGAATCACCGGTTGTTATTGCTGGTGACGTACGACTGGCGCGCAACGACTTCAAAGACGGCGATGGCGATTGTAAGCTTTGTCGAGAACTTTCACTGGTCAAATTGAGCGCACCTGACTCTATGTCTCTCATAGGCTCAACATCTTGTGCGGCGGAGAATTTTCCCTCCTGCGCATTGTCAGAGCGGTGCAAAACATCCAACAAGTGAGACTTGAGAGTGGGCAGTTGATGATGTTGTTGGTGTTCTTCGTGTGGCGTGGCAAATGCTGTCGGACTTTGGGGGGACAAACAACGATCGCTTGAATTCCCTGTCGCCGAATTATTATCCCCACAATCAGAGGCTGAAAGATGAAAAGGAGAAAGAAGGTAATGGTTAAATTTATGCATTAACGGTGTTTTTAAAGACGAAAAACTTTTACAAATAAATACAAAATGCAAATGTGAATGAAAATGAAAATGGAAATGGAAATTTTCGTTCGAATACTTGAAAACCCTTTCAGTTCGCACGTGCCCCTTTGATGTGAACTCAATCGATATGTTTACTTATGCTGAGCACATACACTTCTTTCTCGGGCTTTGGTTACTTTATAAATGACCACTTTGTGTTAGTTTAACGCTTCATAAAAATTCAACTTAACTATGCAAAATTGTCTGCAAAGCCCAAGCAGCGCACATGTGAGCATCTAGTATTTATATGTATAAAGGTGTAGATGTATGTTTATATGTACATACATCCATAGCCATTTGTTGCAGCCCAACCCAGCCCACGCAAGGGACAAGTGGTTGAAACGTCAATGCTTACACCTTTTGCATAATTTTAGCATAAGCAAACACAATTTCACAATTTCCCTATGCGAAATGAGGAGTGAAACGGAAAAGGAAACTCGCAGTACTTTTTTGCAAAATTTTAAATGTGGTCAATTTCATAGTCCGCTGAATTTTCAGTTTTCCCTCCCCTATTCTATGCGCTCATTCAAATGTGTAGTAAGTGAAAATCGTTCACAAGTAGCCACATTCAATCCAGCTGAGCTCACAATTGCCAGTTGTTTTGTAAAAGTGTTCATGTTTTCCAATTTGGCTCTGAGATGTATGGTAGAATATTGGAACCGATTCAAAAGCGAAACTATGAATGTTTTCTTTTCATTTCACAGTTCAGTTGCATGAATGCTCGAACTGCAAATATCAAACAAATATTTTCTAATATCAAGTAGAATTTGAAATAAACGGAAGATACGCCCAATTTGTATAAATTTACTTGATAAATATGCAGATGCAGCCTCATCCTCAAGTTTATGTTTCAATAATTTCACTTACACATACATATATATGTACATACATTCATACAGACATTACTAAATATCCTAATCCAAATATACAAGAGTTTTAGTTGAAGTTTCTTGTTGGGAACAAACGTATCTTAAAAGAAGTTAGTTTAAAGAACGGTTCGGAATATAAAGGAAACTACTGATTAAGTAAATGGGCAGCAAAATATGTAGGTACCTATCTACTATTACATTCATAAACAATTTTTTGGAGTAAAATGTCAAACAAGAATACTGATTTAACTATGACTTGATTGAGGAAGTCTCAGACCTTTTACATATGTATATAAGGGTGTTTCAGTACAAAAACCGCAACTAGTATTTTTGTGAGTATATTTTAAAAGCTGTTAAGCGAAATCATAGGTGTTTATAACTAATAATAATAATAGATTGGCGCTAACAAAATGTGCAATTACTTGGACGAGCTTCTCAATCGATTTGTAGCGTGCGCCAGATTTTTTAGAATTTTCTTGAGTATGCAGTTTTGTAGCCCATTAAATTCTAGTTTAAAAATGCACGTTTCGCGTTGATTTTTGAGAATTTTTTTGTTGAAGGTGTTTTGCATATTTTCCATACAAAGTATTTTCGAAATATTTTTTTTGTATTGAAAAAGCTGCGTGGAAAAAAAATGTCAAAAATCAACGGTCGTAGCTAGTACTTCAAACTTGCACTTTGCTATAATAAAATTTATTGGGCAACAAATCTGCATACTCAAAAAAATTCTAAAAAATCTGATTAAAAGTTTGAAAACTTGCATGAAAATTTATTGAACTTTTGCAAATGTTGCACAAAGTTCAGAAATTATATTTTTATGTTGTTTGTTGTTGAATGAGCCATATTTTTATAAGAAAATAGCGGAACATTTTTTGAAAAGAAATTGTGTTTAATAATAATAGATAATAATAGATTGGCGCTTACACAATCCTCCGATTTGTGGCGTGCGCCTTGATGTTGTAACACGAAGGGGAGGGACCGACTCCGAACGGCGATTATATATTTATGAGAGCCGATTTCTGCCAAACTCGCTCAATTTTACTGAATCGTCGGAACTTTTGGAAATCAGTAAAAAACCACAGCCTTTCTTACCATGTAGTTTAAAGAAAGTTGAAACATGATATTTAATAGTTGTGCCGGGTATATACAGTTTGGTTTTGCCCGAACTTATACTTCCTTACATGTTTTGTTTTCAAATAAGTTAGCATTTAATGGTGCAGACGGGGCATTGAATTGCTATAAAATCGTTAAAAAATTAGATATTTTTCGGCCGAATATGAATATTTCCCTACTGAAATATTCAAAACATTAAATTATTACATATTTTTCGTTATTATTCCTTGCACATTATCGATATCGGCAAGAATACTTAAATCAAACTTCAGATACCTAAATCGATATAATTTTCTTTATATGTGTAGTTATCGGCATATTAAAATTTTCGAGAATCACTTGGCATAGCTTTCCTTTCAGTAAAAGTCTGATTTCTGTTAAGCTTTTCAACCCGACGACGGTCAAGGTAATATATATATTAGACTGCATCACCAAAAAAAAGTTGCAGTTTTTCCGCCGGGACTACAAAATTTATTATATTTTAAGACGACCACCGTAATATTTCGGAAAAATATTTAGATTTGAAAATACCTCCAAAATGGATTTTTTTTATGAATAAAAATAGTTTCTTAAAGAACTTTTTGAAAAAAGTTTCCTCAGATGACAAAACAGATTAGGCTTAAAAAATCTGCATAAATATATTTAAAAATCTTTTCAACAGAATCGTAACAATGAGATTTTTGATGCTGCTTTTTACTATTTTCAAAGATTAATTTACGAAAAACTTTAATAACTGGGCCAATATTATTCTGATTTAGACTTATGGGATCTCGGTAGAAAGGCATTTTCCCACTTTTTTTTATTTATGTGAAAAAAAGTCGTTCGTGTCCCATTTTTTTTCCAAATACCAACACATCTTAGTTCAACTTTGAATGACGTCCGTTCATCCTAGAAGAGTTTAGGTTCAGTTATTCAAGTTTTTCTTATACCAATCTTTGAAAAAAGTTAAAAAAAACAGCATCAAAAATCTCATTATAAAGCCAGTTTCTTTAAATTTAAAATGACGTTAAGATGAAGTCTCTACGATGGGTAGAACCCGAGATATAGTGATTTGAAGGAGTACATGATTGGTCAGAATCACGAAAAAATGCAAACTTTGACAGATCATATGTATCTCCAAAGAAAAAAGCGAAAAAAAATTACTCGAGCACGTGTTACCTTATTCTATGTACATATAGCACCCATAAAAAAAAATTTTAAGCCAATCGAAAGTGTGACACCAAATTTGTTGTCCGATATGAAAAAGAATGTCTTATTTTAAGTATATGTCCTGGAATTGTAGAACTCACTTAAAAATACTACTTTCTCTGCTAATTATATTATGTTCTTTAGACTTAAGTAATTTTTGCTGTTTTAGTTATATGTATGTACTGTTATGAATTTTTTGTTGCGCTGTAAAAGATCTTTCTTTTGATCTTTTTGTGCTAATGATTTTATTAATAAATGAAATGAAAATATTAGGGATGGAATTATCCGTATAATCTGATATCTGTAAATCCATTCGAATATTCGTATATACGGATATCCGGTTAGTAACCGTTCATTTTGTTATCCGGATGTCCGGCTAGTATTCGTTCATTTAGTTATCCGGGTATTCTAAACTGAGTTTGAACGTATTTGTTAAATTGTTCCCAAAAAGTTGCAAAATAAATAATAGAACAGATATCCGGATATCTAAACATTATTCGAATATCCGAATATTAACATACTATTCGGGTATTGAAAAACCACTTCTTTGCTAAAGAGCGTTTGTATTTATCATATTTGTGTAAATATTGATGAATTGCTTAGTCACAAAAAATCTGAAAGTCACAATATAAATTCTAGGCCGTATTTAAAAAAAGTTGCCTAACTTCGACAATTTTTATGCGATTTCAATAAATGGGATATCATGTTGTTTTAAATGAAATGTAATTTTGGCAATGCTACATATTTTAAAATTGTGGAAATGATCGATGGTCAAAACTTAAAAAATTAAGAGAAATATAAATATGGTTTTATTTACCCCATAAAAAATCCCAACAAGCCAAGTCCGACAATAGATTATTGTATACCATTTTAAAGGCCTATATATCGTCTTCTTAGATCATATTTGACCTTTGAAATCGAATCAAAAATAGTCATTCAAAAACTCGTAAATCTACAAAATCGTATTTTCTGACCTAAACCGATAGGTCTCGATCTCTATCTAAGTGACCCTTAAAAAATCTATAAAAATAGGCAATAATATTTCTCATGAACACGAATAAAATTAGGGGGTAGGGTCTTGAAATTTCGCAAAAATACATTTTCGGTGGGACCCTAATGTACATATCCATACATACATACAAACACATCGTCGTTTAAAGTACAAAACCGCGTATCGTCATTCTGCAAAACCGCGTAACTAAAATTTGCAAACAAAAATTTAATTTGCCCACGCAAGCTCTTGGCTCAATCCTTATCCATTCGTCCTGAAATGTACTAGCCAGAAATGCGATTGCTTTCTAAAAAAGAGAACCATTTTGAAATATGAGTGTTTTTACGCTCTAGAAAATAATTTCTACAACTTCACATACGCGGTTTTGCATTTTGCAGATACGCGGTTTTGCACTCTAAACGACGATATGTATGTGTGTTCCCACGTAAGTATGTAAATTCTTCACGAAAAAATCTCCACATGCTGATTCTAACCAAGCCGATGAAAATTTGAATGCAGTAACAATAAATTACACATACAGGCTCTCAATTTCTCTTCTCTTACGACAAATGCATTAACATATGTATTTACATACATATTTATGACATAAGCAAGTGAAGTCCTTTTTAGATTTGATGACTTACTTGACTGAATCGACTGTGGTCTGAATGCCTTTGCCATATGTTGCTGGACATTTGGAAAAGTTTGCCTTCTTGACACACACACACAGATA